GGGCGGGCCAGCGCAGCTCTCCCTCATCCAGCACCAGGGCGCCCCTGGACAGAGCGGGGGGGGGGGGGGTGTTTGACCAGGTTTGACCGGGATAGATCATGGCCGACAGTGCAGCATTGCTGATGGGCATGAAGAAGAGTGGGGCCCAGCACGCTTGCTGCAGAAGACGTGAGGCAGGCGGGATCGAGTAGTGCGCAGGCAGCGAGTGCGGACGCCGGCCGGGTGTACGCGGCAAATATGCACTGACACCTGGCGGGGCGACTGCGTGCGCCGGCCACACAAGGAGGCGGGTTCACATATGGGGGCAACATCCATACCCCCAGCGAGAACAAGTGCCCGCTCGCCCCGCGTCATAAATCCCCCAAAAATGCCAGATTGTGCGCGGGTCACCGCGGGGTGCATTTGCAGTGATCCCGTCAAGCCCGACAGATCACCAGATCAGATCGCGCGCGTCACCCAGATCAGATCGCACCTGACGGCCTCGTCGTCGTAGTCGACCACGAACTCGTCCTTCTTGCCGGTGGTGAAGGGGCCCATGGACAGCAGGAACTGGGGGGAGAGGTGGGGGGGAGGAAAATGTGGACAAGGGGGCGTAAATGTCAGTACTTGACACAGCAGTGGGGTGATGATGGAGCAGGATGACCACCTTGCGCCATGGGCACAGGGGGGGGGGGGGTGTCGCGCAGGAGGCACGGAGATCTGCTGTGGCCGCCGGGGCCGGCCGGCGCTGCGGCGCGAGAGCTGCCCGACAGCTGCAGCGGGGGCGCCGCGACGTCGGTCAAGCCAAGGCAGAGCAGCCGTCTCCAACGAGATCCAGTGCGCCGCGCTCCATGTTTGGGGTCTTTGTGTGAATAAACAGGTGCATTCATTTCAACTTCAACTGATTCGCGCCCTGCGCACCTTGCTGATGTTGTTGGAGTAGAGGGTGGAGGCCTGGGTGGGCAGGCGGCTGGGCAGGTCGGTGTAGCCGATGACAACCTTTGTTTTGGGGTTGGGGGGGTGAAGGGTGGGGTGGGGCGGCGGGTTGATGATGAGGTGCGGGACTGGGGCGTTGCCGCGGGAACAGTGTGCGCCCTGAGCGCCGGGGCGAGCGGCACAGGGCCGGGGCGCCGACGCCGCGAGGCGGCGGCCGCGTCGGGGCTGCCCGGCCCGGCCCCGGGGGGGGGGGATCATCTGTGGGCGCCGACCCCACCTGGCCGCCGGGCGTCTTGATGACCTTGTCTTTCACCGTGTACTCGATGTTGCCGCCTTTTGGGGGTTGGAGGGTGGTGGAGGTTCGGGGTGAAGAGGCTCTGGACTTGGATCCCGGATCGTGGGATGAGCTTTCGGAGGTAGAAGGCGAAACAACACCAGATCACGGCCAGATCACACCAGATCACGCCCAGATCACAGGCGGCCCACTCACCGGCCTCAGCGGCGAGGTCCACCAGCACCGACCCCGGCTTCATGATGTCCACGAACTCCTTCTTGACCAGCACGGGGGCGGTCTTGCCCGGGATGAGGGCGGTGGAGATGATGATGTCGACGCCGTCCTCACACTGCGCCTTGAACAGGTCCCACTGAGTGTGTGTGTGTGTGTGTGTGTGCGTGTGTGATGTGTGTGTGTGGCACAAAGTGGAAAATATGGCATAAGCGAGTGAGGTGGCGCCTGGAGGTGTCGAGGTTTGGAGCTGCAGGGTTGCCGCAGGGATCACAGATGCGCGGGCCAAGGGGTGGGTGCGCGTGGGGGGGTTGAGGGGCGCAGGGGTGCCGACGACAGGAAGGAGGGAGGGAAAGTGGGAGGGGAGGCGGCGGGCGGAGACGGGGAGCCGACCAGGCATCGCTGGGACAGTTTGGGGAATGGCATGGAACGGGGCCCTGCGCGCACGCAGAGCTCAACAAGGGCGCAGCGGCCGGCGCAGCTGACGCGCCGCGCGGGGCGCGTGGGCGCGCGCCAAAGGGCGCGCCTCGGGCCGGAACCGACGCAGGCGCCCTGCTGGCGGCGAGGGGCGTCTGCCCACACACAGTTCATTGACGCCCCCGCCGCCGGCAGCTGCAGTGGAGTGCACTCTCCCCAATGAACAATCAAGACCAGTCTGCAACAACACTCCTCTCGCGGTCTCTTGCTGCAACCCCCGAAACACGGCCACAGCACCAGCCGACTCGCACACCCACGCACACAAATTTCTCGGTGCCTCTCCAACTTCGATGATCAGACCCTTCAAGCCAGATATCTGGGTGAGGGCCAGCCGCCAGCCCCGGCCCCGTGGGGTGCATGGCATGACACCTCATCACTCCTACCACCCCAAAGCTCCGAATGCTCTGAGAAAAGCAGCAGCCCCGTGCACCCCCAGTTGAAAGGGCCTCAACCAAATGAAAAAACCCAGAAAAACCCACCCACGACTCTGGAAGCCGCGAGGACATGCCCCCCTCGAAGGCCTCCATGCACACCCCAGCCTGACCACACGTCAGCCTGCAGGAGTCCTGCAGGTGCCCCTGCCCTGAGGCCTTGCAAAACACACACACACACACACACACGCATAAAAACACACACATGCGCGCACGTCGAAATCCACACCCACACAAACGCACACCCTTCACACATACATACACCCACGTAAACCCACACCCACGCACCTCAGCCTCCAGGAAGGCCTGGCTCATCTCCTTGGCGTAGCCACCGGCGCCCTCCCCAGACTCCTCGATGCTCACCGTCAGGAACTCAGCACCCAGAGACTTGGCCTGACAGGGTTTGAAGTTCAAGGGGGTGTTTGGGAGTGACAAGAGAGACAATGTTTGTGTGTGCGCGGGCCTGCGCACACTGTATGCATTGTGTGTGTGTGTGTGTGTGTGTGTGTGTGTGTGTGTGTGTGCCTGTGTGTGTGCACGTGCTCTGTGCTCTGTAAGCGCTGACGAGCGCAGCTGCGCACAGCCACAGCCCGCCGCCGCCACACCGGTTTGCTTGCA